AATGTATATAAAACAACAGCATCTGCTTGTGTGTCTGATTTCATTATTTTCTCTCTGACAAGTACGAGAGAGCGATGGAAGTATTTGAAGAATCGTTCATGTTGCATACATCCTTTTTTTTGGATGACCTTTGTTTGATCTAGAGCGAATATTGTTTCTAGGGCACTTACGTTGAGGGTATCAAGGAAGAAGTTGTTTTGTCTCCAGGCCATGCACTATCCTTCATTGCAGCTGGGGAAGGTAATTATAAGAATTACTTCCGAACATATTTTTATTTTACTATATACTCTTTTTTCGCCTTTCCTTATTACTGTTTTGATATTCCACTGCAGAACATCGTCATGTTGGTTCAAATAATTTCAATTTAATGAGCAGCAGAAGTCACACAATATTTACACTGGTACGTTGCCAAAAAAATACACTGGTACATCTTCGATCTTCTGAACATCGCATGTTTTCTTCCCGATCCTCTCAACGTTTTTTAAGATACTTTTGCTCTTATAAATTTCCTTGCTATGCATTATAAGTTTCAACTACTGTTTGTTTGCAGATGATTGAAAGTAGTGCTCATGGAGATCAATATGATGGAGTTATTTTTTCCCAGCTAGTAAGGGCTTCTTTCTTCTTTCATTGCACACGATCGCTCTTGTCTTACAGACAGCTCTCTCACAGTGTCTCTTTCTCGCTTAGAATTTGATTGACTTAGCTGGATCTGAGAGTTCCAAAACCGAGACAACTGGACTTAGGAGGAAAGAGGGTTCATTCATCAACAAGAGTCTTCTGACTCTTGGAACTGTAGGTGCCTCTCTTTATATTCAATTTAATTTGTCAGATGTTTCATTTTCAGTAATGATAAAATGTAAATCATAATTTCTGTAATTGTATATGCAAAACTGCCTGAGAAGAACAACTCGGTTTGCTACCACATTTGATTGGTAGCACTAGAGGCTCAGAAAAGGATTTCCAGTTGCTTTGGATGTAGAATTTGGCTTCTTGTTAAATTTAATCGTCAGTGCATGATGTAGTCATGCTAGTGTATCTTGATTATCAATGTTTTATTTCTGAAAAGTCTGTTCTCTTTTTAGTGTCTTTATGTTTAATCACCTAACCATTGAGATGAATTTTAAGGATGTCTTTGTTCTAAATATCTCTATGTTTTCATTATGTAGGTGATTGGAAAATTGACTGAGGGCAAGACAACTCATGTCCCCTTTCGGGACTCGAAGCTAACTCGTCTTCTGCAATCTTCCTTGAGTGGACATGGGCATGTATCGGTACGACTCTTATGTTTCTGGTGAATATTTCTCATTTCACTGTGGTGGTTTTCCCAGTGTTGATTTTCAGATTGTGTATTTGTGATATCTCTAGCAGCATATTTAAGGGAATGTTGGTTTGTTTATATTGGCTATTTGTTATAAACTGCAAGTTGATGTTAATTCAGGATAGTAATGAGCAGAAGCTAATTTCCTTCAATTTTTATAGCTCATATGTACAGTTACTCCTGCATCAAGCAGTACTGAGGAAACTCATAATACACTGAAGTTTGCCAGCAGGGCAAAGAGAATAGAAATTAATGCCTCACGCAATAAGGTGAGTTCTTAGCCATTTGGTCATGAAGTACGTTGCTTCTCTCTAGGGTATAGCCTCAACCTTGGCTAAGTTATTCTTTTTTTAATCTTGAAACAGATTATAGATGAGAAGTCATTGATTAAAAAATACCAGAAAGAAATCTCGACCCTCAAAGTAGAACTTGATCAGCTAAAAAGGGGTGTCCTTGTTGGTGTTAGTCACGAAGAGTTATTGAGCCTAAAGCAACAGGTTCTGACCTCCCCGAGACCTTGTTATTGCATGAATATTTGAGTTTATTCCTATTTGGTGAATGAATAGAACTACCAATTTATTAAACAGCTACAAGAAGGTCAAGTGAAGATGCAATCAAGATTGGAGGAAGAAGAAGAAGCTAAAGCAGCTCTAATGAGTAGAATCCAAAAGCTTACAAAGCTCATACTCGTATCGACCAAGAATTCTATTCCTGGATATTTAAGTGATGTACCAACTCACCAGCGCAGCATTTCTGCTGGTAAAGATGATGTAAGTTTGCTATTCAAATCAGATTATCACAATGTTTGTGTCCCTTTTCCTACTCTTGCATGTTGCTACCTCACTGCACAAGATGTTTCATACCAGAATGACTCATTCTGTTTTCTTTTTGCTCTTCAGAAGTTGGACTCTCTGCTCATGGATAGTGATAATCTGGCATCCCCTTCTTCGACTTTGTCTCTTGCATCAGATGCTTCTTTTGGTCTTAAGCACCGGCGGTCTTCCAGCAAATTAAAGGATGAAAACTCTCCAGGTGGTTCTGGTGCAGAATTAATTCAAGTGAGTTTGGGACTCTTAGCGTATATATTTTACATCGAATTTTGTTTATTCAAAGTTTGCTGTATCCTTCTATTCAAACCCAATTGGTATACTAGTAAAGGGTGTTCGATGATTCAGGGATGCATGCACCGATTAGCCTTTCTTTTAACTCATGAGCATTATTTTTCACAGTTCTTGTCAGAAAATGACATCTGATAGTTGTCACTATTGTAGGGCGTTATGTGTCCGGATGAAATGGATCTCCTCGTTGAACAGGTTAAGATGCTTGCTGGTGAGATAGCTTTCAGCAAAAGCACATTAAAGCGTTTGGTGGATCAGTCCGTAAATGATCCTGAGAACTCAAAACCCCAAGTAAAGTTCTTCTCTATATCTCTAGAATTAATATACCATAGGACTATGCTCTTCCTAATTTTGACCCCTGGAAATCAGAAGGATGCATGCCCAGACCCTTTTGTGAACTTTATAGAAAATTTACAAGTGTAATTATGGAACTTAATAATATTCGCATGCAGATCCATAATCTAGAAAGAGAGATTCAAGAAAAGCAAAGACAAATGAGGTCTTTGGAACAACGAATAACTGAGAGTGGTGAAGCTTCAATCGCAAATGCATCATCTGTTGAGATGCAACAGGTAATTTAATCTGCACATCACTATCATCAGGATCCTTTACCCTGTTAAGGTCATCCTAATGTGGATCAGCTAAAGGTATCACACTTATTTTTTGTTTTCAGAAAGTTATGAGATTGATGACACAGTGCAATGAGAAGAGCTTTGAGCTGGAGGTAAAATATTTGTCTTCTCTGGAATGAAACATCTTGCTTTGTAGCCAAAATCAAGATTGCTTAAAGTCTATGTATATTTAATTGTGTTCTACCTGTGGATCAGATCATATCAGCAGATAATCGCATTCTCCAAGAACAACTAGAGAAAAAGGTTACTTCTAAGTCACTGACACGTCCTTCTCTTTTCTTTTACATTCTCCTTAGCAATTTCTTCTGGCTTTTTAACTTAGTCGTCCTTGTTTCTTCACACATGTTCTAACAATTGCAGTGTACCGAGAACAATGAATTACACGAAAAGGTGCGCATTCTAGAGCAACAGCAATCGAGTCAGAAGTCTTCACCGTCTTGTTCTGGTAATGCTGTAAGTGAAGAGTATGTAGACGAGCTGAAAAAGAAAGTACAGTCTCAGGTATTTTATCTAAATCTCAACCTTTTTTTTGTCAAATTTGCGATTGCACATTCTCACAAGTATGCCTGATAAATATGTACACTGGCAGTGAAGAGATTGTGAAAAACGCACAAGTATCATATATGTTTTCCGGGCCTCTGGTTATATTTACGTGAGCGTTGATTTTGGTATACTTCAGGAGATTGAGAATGAAAAGTTGAAGCTAGAGCATGTGCAGAGTATGGAAGAGAAGAGTGGATTACGAGTGAAAAATCAAAAACTAGCTGAAGAAGCTTCGTACGCTAAGGAATTGGCCTCTGCAGCTGCTATTGAGCTGAAAAATCTAGCTGATGAAGTAACAAAGCTTTCGCTTCAAAACGCAAAGCTAGAAAAAGAATTAGTAGCTGCAAGAGACTTAGCAGCAGCTCAGACACGTAACAATAACTCCATGAACAATGTGCCAAATCGCAATGGGACAAGGCCAGGGAGAAAGGCAAGGATCTCAGACTCATGGAATCTAAACCAAGATCTTAAAATGGAGTTGCAGGCGAGGAAACAACGAGAAGCAGTACTCGAGGCTACATTAGCTGAGAAAAAGTACATAGAAGAAGAGTATAAGAGAAAAGTGGAAGAAGCAAAGAGAAGAGAAGAAGCCCTGGAAAACGATTTAGCCAACATGTGGGTACTTGTTGCCAAACTGAAGAAAGCCGGTGGGGTCTTGTCCGTATCACAGAGTGATGAACTTCTTGTCACTGAGCCTCCAATGGAAGATGAAGCAAAAGGATTAGAGACTAAGAGTCAACAAAATGCGATCTTGAAAGAGAGACAAGTCTTAAATGCACCTGAAGAAGTAATAGTAGCCAAGACTGAGGAGACACTAAAAGAGGAACCCCTTGTTGCTCGTCTTAAGGTACCTTTGCAAATTTGCCTTTTATTTTCTTTAAGCATTATTAGTTTTCTATAAGCATTATTAGTTTTCTATAAGCAAGCCTACTAAACAGTCTACGGGAGGCACATATATATATATATACCCGTTACCTGTTCCATACCCGTTAATCCGCTATGCTATAACCTTTGGATTGGGTTACGAAATATACCCTCATACTCAAAAATATATGGTTTCTATATATTAATATGGCTTTACCTGATCCAAAATACTCCAATACCAATCAGACCAAAATTTTTAAATATCATGTCCTAAATATCAAAACAAAATATATTGTTCTGGATATTTAAGGTTTATGGGAACTTTGGTAATTGTGTGTAAAAATCTTCACTCTTTATACGGTTAATAAAAAATTATGCTTCATCACACATTCAAATACATCCATAGCAATATAAGCTTCAAAAAAGAATCAAACTGTTTTTTTTTTGTTTAACGTGCATTTGATGCTTTTTACATCACAGGCAAGAATGCAAGAGATGAAGGAGAAAGAGAGGAAATCGCAGGCGGCTGCAGCAGCCAACGCAGATGCAAACTCACATATCTGTAAAATCTGTTTTGAATCGCCAACCGCCACAATTCTTCTCCCTTGCCGTCATTTCTGTCGTAAGTCTCACACTTTCACTCCCCTGGAGATCCTTTCTTCATCAACTACTAGTACACCTAAAAGATCACAAAATCTCTCTTTTTTTCACAGTTTGTAAATCTTGTTCACTTGCCTGCTCCGAATGCCCAATCTGCCGTACCAAGATCTCTGATCGCTTGTTCGCCTTCCCGTCCTAACCCCCGACAAGTCTAGCCACTCACTTGCACACGATTTAAGGTAATTTCATTAGTGTTCCACCATCGCAAATCTATCTATGTATAATCCAAGATGCTTTAGTTCAACAAGATTTTTTTACAAAAAAAAAAAAAGGACTTGATGTGTTTCAAATAGCTGAAAAAAAAAAAGAATTAGTGGAGATATAATTTCGTAATATAGCATTTTTTTGTCTAACATAACTATGCTTTCAAATACGAAAATATTAACAACAAAAATCAAGATTTGAAATACGATTCTATATGATTTTGCAGGTGTGAAGAACTATATGGGTCAAAGCCTGTTAGTTTGCTAATATTTTCCAAAATGGCAGGCTTGAATTTTCTTAGCACCTGTGAGTTTTGTTTGTTTATTTTTTTTGTATGTAGTGTCTTTCATATATCGTTCTATTGAAAATGGGGGCAAAATAGAGAAAATATAACATATACGTCTGCTCATATTAAAACGAAAGGTAAGTATATGTACAGATTTTTTTTGTTTACCGAAACCTCTTCTTATAGGGGGAAAAAGTTATAAAAAATGAAATAGTATGCTCATTTCTTCTCCATCGAAACTATAAAGAAAAGATGATCTCCATATGGATCTTTCATACACATCTTTTTCAATCCAAATGCAAAGTTTTAGCATGTGTAGTCTAACGGCATCCTCAAATCTTCAACGTATTTTTCTATAATTATCTCTAAAATAGAATAAAAAATAATATTTCTCTATTTTCTCTCCAATGTATGACTCTATTTTAGAGAAATGCTATTTTTTCTTGTCTTTTAGGATATGACAAAAAAATCTCTATTTCCATCTCCAAATATAGAGCAAAAAAATAGTAATTTCTATTATAGAGATGAAAATAGAGATGGGTTGAAGTAAATTTGACTCTAAACTCTATTTTAGAGATGAAAATAGAGATGAATTGGAAATGATTAAGATATATTTATTGTGTGGCTTGTGCTTCGATTCCAATAATTTTGTGATGCAGAAGATCAATCTCCATTGGCTGAGAAAAACATCTTTCGCTCATGGTTAACATCTTTAACGGTCGGTATAATCTTTCTATATTCAAGAGAAATTCTTTTAAAGCTAATAAAAACATTTCTATTATCTTTTTTTTTAAACGTCTGAGGATCTTATTAATAAATGGACCATGTCCATGAAATAACAGAGTTTGGTAATAAACCCAAAAAACATAGCAAGAAAACAAAAAAAAAGAGCATCAACTCCCAATGGGAAGGGAATAAAAATGCTAACATCGAGTTTCTCTGATAATGACGTCGTGGAGCCATGACGGACCTCCTGCTGCAAGATAAGAATTGAACCGTCCATCTCGTGTTACACTCTTCGCAATCTCTCGAGCCACCAAGTTTGCTTTGATAGGTTCTAACTCAAGTGAACAAGCCCTCGTTTAACCTCTGAATGTGATCTATGAACACTTGATAACGAGGCCATTCAAGAGGTTTCAGTAATGCAGCAATCGTCGCTTGACAATYCGAGGCTATCACCACATCTCGGAAGTGCATATTTTGCAAACTCTGCAACGCCCATATAATGCATCAGAATTTCGCCGTAATCCAATTCCTGAACTTGGTGAAAGCCTCGCGGGAATGTAATAAGACTTCCCCCCTGTGATCTCTGATCATCCAAGCCCCGCCACAGTGTAAGTGTTGATTTCTCCAATTCCCATGAACGTTACACTTCACTTTGTGTGCTACTGGTTTTTGCCATTTAAGGTCTCTGCTAGGACCAATTAGACAGATCCGACCATTCTCCTCCTCCTTATTGTGCACATCCAACCAGCATCTTGATTCAATCAGTGCAGCATTCACCACAGACGTAAGCGTGTTCTGATTTCCAGCATACATTATCGAGTTCCGGTTCTTCCACGTGTTCCATAATATCCAAGGCAGTGAATGTCGAAGTTGAACCTGAGCATCTGATTTCTCCATCAGTTTGAATACAGCTTCTATATTCTCTTCTAGGGAGTCACTAAAGCCTATGTTCAGCTTCGACTCTGTTGCAAGTCT